TATCTTGTTTTGTAGAAGCTGATAGATTTAAAATGCCATTAGCAATATCGTCAGACGAAAGTCTAAGGGAGCCAAAATTAGTAGAATTCACACTAGCAGAGAAACTAGAATCCACAGTAGGGTTATCATCTACAAAATTAGAACTAAAAAATGCAGCAAATAGATTTGCAACGTCAGCTGGAGTGGAGGCACATTTATCTTCAAAAAATACAGCTGAGGGAATACTAGAGTTGTTTTTCTTAGACTTAATAAAATGCCAGAACGATTTCGGATCTTCTTTGATATGGATTCAATACCTAAGATATAATTTCTGTAGAGGAATTTATTCAAGCAGTTAAACTTTTTAAGATGGACCTGATATTTTTCAAAGAAAAACTGACTTCCAGAGGCCTTAAACTTATTATAAAATTTGTTTCTAAGATTCTTAAGTTTTTACAAGTCACGATTATACCACGGTAATTTATAGGGTCTTTTTCTAATTATTGGAATGAATTAAAAAAAAAAAAATCAGAAATTACAGATTTGAAAGTAGCGAAGCATTTAGCTACATCGGGGCAAGAGAGTAAGCTTTCCCAATTTAATTCACCCAGTAATCTATTTAACTTGGTATAATCGCAGGCTGCATAATTAAATAATTAAACTTAGGTTTGTCACCAGCATTGAAAGACGGGAATACATAAAATTCAAATTTTATTAGCAGAGGAACATGATGCATATTAGATGGAGTGATCGGATTGTGGCAAACTTCAATGTTACATTTAATGTTATCACTAATAAATATGAGGTCAAGAATTCTATCCAACTTGTTAACAAAATTATTGATTTTAATAAATTAAGGCTTAAGAGGCTATCTATAAAGTACACTTCATGGGACGCATTGACATTAATTGGCGAGAGACCAGCATTGGAAAAAGATGTGGACCAAGATACATTACAAAGATTAAAATCGCCTAACACACAAAGGTGGTCATCTCCTAGCTTATTTAATACTAAAGACATTATGTTGTCAGCATGCGCTTTATAAAGATTATAATTACTATTAGGCGGGATATAAGAAACAATCAAACACAGAGAGTCATGACTAGATGAGGCACTGATGCGATCACAAAGCTGATCCAAAAGGGAATCATCATTTTCAAGCGAGACAGAGATCGAATGAAATTTACGCTGAATCGCAATAAGAACTCCGCCGCCTCTCAGACAACCAGTCTTAGTTGCATCTCTGTCCTTCCTAAAGACATTATAAATGTTTGAATCAAAAAATTCCTCATCAAAGAAATCCGCATTTAGCCATGACTCAACAATAACAAAAACATCGAAATCCCTTTGCGAGCTAATAGAGCGTACCGCTGCTGATTTTGTTCGAAGGCCAGAAATATTCTGGAAATAAACCTTCAAAGAGCTATAATTATATATCTGCCTATTAACATTTAAATATGCATTACAACTAAACTTATTAATATCCAATACTACGGGATCAGGCGCATCCGAGGACAAATGAACTAATTCGGATGAGTTTGTTTTGTCCCTCTGTGAAAAAAACGGAACGGCCGAACAGAAACATTAGCTGGCCACAACTCTGGTCTCATTAGATTTTCGCAATCGAACTCGCTGACGCCAAGCTTAAAATTGACATAGGATAAGGAATCCAGTCTCGACTCTTTTTTGACTAACTTGTAGCAGGTTAAGTGCCGCTTATCAATGCCAGCGTGTCTCACCACATAATCAACAATATTCTGACAGGAGACGGTTGGCACGAAAGACGAAAGGTGCAACCACTTAAAGCGGGCAGCCACTCCAAGATCACTACAATCATTTGATCCCCCCACGCGAGTTCGCTTTTGGATGTGCTTTGTCCTTTTACTCTCAGCAGTAAGCCAAACAGGGCTGCGGGTAGGAGAAGGAGGATTAGGCACTTCCGCGGCCGTAGCATTAACAGCATCAGATTCAGCACTAACACCACCAGTCGGTATATGTTGTGAAACAGGTGGCAAACCAGCAGAAGACATATTGTTCACAATTACAGGAGCGACTAAAGATGAATTAGCAGCAACAGAAACATTAGCAGTGCACGGTGTGGTTGGCTTCGTGGTTGTAGTAGTACCCGCAAGTAAATTGGCAGTGCAACCTGCGACAGTATTTGTGTCCATGAGGCCGTCCACATGACGTACAGTTTTAGAGCCACTAGAACTAGCAATCCCGCCAGAATCAAGCTCGGAACACTTTGACGACAGCAAGCGACAAGCAGCATCTGTCAAATTTTAAATACACACGTTCTTACGGACACAATTATTTTGACGACAGCACGACATCTTGGCTGCAGGACTGCAATTGTCGACGTCGCCAAATTAAATCTATTTCTAATTTTGCCGGCGACAATGAGTAGATGTAGTGCTGCAAAATTAAATTGTCGCAAAATTAATCACATATTCTTGATTGTTCATGTTTTTCTTATTTACTTAAATAAAAATACACAATTTGTGAAATAAATATACCAAAATGTCAAACTTTAAAATCAGCTGTTTGCTATGTCGCTGAGGTCTTCAAAATGTTTAAGAAGCTGGCTTCAAGGCGACATTTGTCGACAAAATGATGTCGCTGTCGTTACGTCGTGAAGTTGCTGTCGTCAAAGTGTTCCGAGCTTCAGCTTTGCGAGCGGGAGAGATGACGTTAACACTCTGAGCCGATGTGCGGTCAGACAAGACGCTTTTAGAGCCAAACGAATGAGGGACAGCGGGAGCCACAACAGCACCAGGCGATGAACAGTAATTATTGTTGTTGTACGAAGCACTAGCACCAAACTCAGCAGCCAACAAACCCACATTAACAGCATTTAAATTACTTGCATTCGAATTGTTGGTGGAATGCAAAGATAAAATAAGATTTTTTAATGCATCAAGTTGATTAGAAAGATCTTTGAATTTAGCATCAAAAGCGTTAGATATTAACTCAATACTACGCTTTTGGTCCCCATGACCTCATCGAGAACTTTGCAAAGTTTCCCCCGCATGACAACACAGTCTTCACAGAGGTAAATTAAATGCCGGTTAGTTTTAACCAAGTTCATATCGTATTCAGATATGCCTTTACAACACGCACGATGGAATGTTTTCCGGCAAAAACCATTATACGGCACCAAATTCGCGTCAGATCTCGAAAACGCTTTACTACATTTGCCACAGCAGTTGGCCATTACGAAAGAATAAATAAAATATCGGAGCAAAAAGAAAACACGTCTGCACACAACAAGAGCTAGTTACATTTTTGTAACTATATGTTGTATAATTCTTACAAAAATTGAATTAATATAAAATAATTATAAAAAAAACTTACAAACCCTAAGTGCGGCCGACGCCGCC